GGTGACTAAGGGTGATTTTTGTAGTTGGCTGTGATTAAAAGAAATTCTGTGGTTTTCTGTGAAACACAAAAAATCACTGTCCCTGCACGGGTAGATCTACTAAAATTAACCAACCATATGAATGTCTTTCTATGATAATAGATACTCGATCAAAACTTTATGGGAATTTACTTTGTAAGAAAATAAGAAAAAAAATTCACTATTTACTATTTATAAAATTGTATTACCACTCACAGAAATCCGAATAGGAAGAAAATAGGAACGAAATTATAACTGTTAATTAATAAATAAATGTGTTAAATTATCATAAAAAAAAACAATGCGAGTTATCTTAACGGGTGCTTCGGGCTTATTAGGTCGTGCAGTTTACAAGGCATTTCGTGAGGCTGGTCACGAAGGTGAGGTTTTTCGTTCTGCTGAGTGCGGCTACTTGTATAAGTTTTTTAATCTATAGTTTTTGTAAAATATAGTAACTGGCCTTGCTAAGAGCCGTGCGAAAAATGGGTTGAGACAGGTTAGAATTTTATATTTTGGTACTGTTATACATATATTCTTTAACTTACATTCATGTTTGTAAATACAATCATAGTTTGATCTAACCAACAAAGATAAATTGGACGCATTGATTCAAGAGTTAGAGCCCGATGGTTAGAACAAAAATTCATTATAATTACCTAATGTACATGAAATGTATCATATGATAATTATTCTACTTTATTTAGTAATCATTCATACTGCAGCCGAGCGAAGACCCGATGTAGCAGAAAAAAATCGTGAAGCAACCTTCGAAGTATTCTTATTTTATTGAACTGATGCACTTTGCCATTTGAAGTATCTAACATATTTGGGTGCTTTTTTTAGCTTAATGTCAACGTTCCAGCTCACATTGCGTCATTGTCCAAGGCCTACAATGTTTTATTCATTCAAATTTCCACGGATTATGTATTTGATGGAAAAAACCCACCTTATGACGTGAACGATAAGCCAAATCCATTGAATTTTTATGGTAAGAAAATCTTTTTAATATTATTTAATCTTTATTCCCTCACAATATCTATAAATAATCAGGATAATCGAATAGTCATTTTACATTAGGAGAAACAAAATATAAAGGTGAACTTGCCGTACAAAATGCAAACCGACAGGCTGTGATTTTACGTGTTCCAGTCTTGTAATTAGAACTTTTTAAGTCTTTCATGTTATGCTTGGCTTAATGATACTTTTGTAAATCCTTGACCACATTAATCATGCAGATATGGCGAGGTAGAATTTCCCGGGGAGTCTGCAGTTAATATCTTGGTGGATTCTGTTAAGGTTCTTATCAATAATGGAACAGAAACAAATATCAAATCATATTATAAATGTGACTGAATATTTTTTCAATTAGAATTCATCAAAGGAAGTCGAGATGGATCACTACGCAATTAGATATCCTACTAATGGTAAAGAAACAATAAGTGGCTCTTCATTTTTAAGCAATTAATACGTCTAAATCTCACGTATCTGCATGGTTATTTTTTATCCTGATAGTTCAGGATGTAGCAAGAGTTATTAAGGATATCTCTGGTAGGAGCATATAATTGTGTTTCTATTCTTTTTTATATTAAATTTAAAAGACCCATAAAATGATTTGTATAATAGAAAAACATATTGAACAACATGTTCCAATTTCTGGAGTTTTACATTTTAGTGGTAATGAAAACTTCACCAAATACAAAATATGTGGCAAGTGGCAAATTATTATTGTAGTTTTTTTTAATTTAATTTGGCTTATATTTATAATTATTAAATTTTATCATGCACAGAAGTTTTTTCAAAAATTTTGCAAGTTCCGATAAACCATATTAAACCAATTGAACATGTGCCTGTTGCTTTAGCTGGTAAATAGATTTATCTGGTTGACTTTAAATTACTTATTTATTTGATTAAAAAAAAAAATTAAATTTTTTTATATTTGATTTTTTATAGTAAATCGCCCATATGATTGTCATTTGTTAAACGATCAACTTATTAATCTAAAGATTAATGTAGATTGTATTGAGTTTGAAGATTGGTGGAAAAAATATTTAAGCAATGATTTTATTTAAATTGTTTGTTTAAGTAGAGCTGTATTTATTATATTTAAAAATATATTTTGGTTTTTTTATTAGAGTTATTATTCATTGCCAGTGCGATGCTTAGCTACTCTTGATCGACCAATCAGGATACAGGATCAGGTGTAACAAACCAAATGATTGGTTAATTAGGGGTAGCAATACATTATACTAGCAATGAATAATAATTAATTTTTTTATTATTTATTAAAATTAAAAAATTTTAATATGTTGTAAATAAATAAAATTATTAAATCATAACTTTTTTTGACAATCACTTGTATTAACTAATTACTGAAAGCAAGTTGAAGACTCAAAACCAGAAGTTAGCAGCAACTTTAAGTTTTCTCAATATGAACTGTTGTCAATGAAGTTTTTATATATAATATATCAAGAAGTGGGTGTTTTGGATAGTTTGCATAAGAGTTAAGCTTTTTCTCTTGCTTTGGTGAACTCTTTTATGTATTTGACATTCAAATCAGAGAAGTTTTTAGAAATAGTAAGTAGAAAGCAAGCTTAAGTTTGTTTGAAAATAAAAGGTAGTGAAAAATGTTTGGAACAACATTCTTTAGTTAAAAACTCACAATATCTATAATATTTTTTTCTTTAATATTTTGGTTATAATTTTTGACAAAAAGTAAGAAATTTAGCAAATCTTCTCTAAAAGATCGATATTGTTTACCACTTTTATATTAGAAAATTATATGATAACAAATTAACACATAGAAAATAGATGGTGCTAGCAAATTGAAGTAATTAAATTGGGTATTTTGACAGAGTATCTTACATATCGTGTTATTTAGAATGTACAAACATTTGTGATGATTATATAGAATTTTAAAGTTCTTATACAGTGCAGGAATTCTTAAACCAACAACTTTTTTAAAAGTGGCCAAATTTGAGACAAAATACTAAATTCTGATTGGCTAATAGCTTAAAAT